GCCGATTGATGTTTTCGAGTTTCAGTGAGCAAATTAAATATGGTCACGTGACTACATTGGTCAGCCAATTCCTTGAATTCGCTCATAAAAACCCCGCTCTGAAAGTCTTGAAGACGTTTAAAATATAAAATGAATTTTATGACAATAATCTTTTTATATAAAAGCACATTTGATATAAATAATTAAATCAAATCACTATTAATCTTAAATAAAGAGTAATGTTTTGTTATTACTGTTCTCAAGATGTTTTGCTTAACGGAGATATTAGACCAATACGTTTAATAGATGTTTGCAAAAAGGAAATTGTGAACACTAAACAAATATGTGAGAATTGTTATAATGTTGGCAATATTTGTATTATAACCCATGTATGGGGTAATACTAAAAAATATGATTCACTTCATACACAAATCAAAAATTTGACATGGGATGTTGCATTAAGCAATAAGAATAAGCTTGATGATATATTATCAGGATGCAGACAACTCAACGTTAAGTGGTGTTGGCTTGATACAGTGTGCATCAAACAGGACGATGATGACGAGAAAGCTATTGAAATACCTAAAATGTCTTTTTTATATAAAACATCAACATTTTGCGCTCTTTATAGAGATGAGTTTAACGACAATGACGCTTATAAATTAAATGAAACATTAGGAAAGATCACTTTGAATTTATCTGATCATAAAACAACTATATGTCAAGTGATTCCTGGAGAGGCAAGATTAACAGAATGTTTATGGGCTGAGAGAGTATGGACTTTACAAGAAACAATTTTGCCTAAAAAATTAGTTTTCATAACTAAAAATCATGTTGTTGATTTCTCTAATATCTTGATGATGTTATCAGTTGCATATAATGAATGGCCTCATTGGAAGGAATATTTAAACACTTATATACATATTAATATTATTAAAATATTGGTGTCTAAATCCGATATTTTGACATATGCTCAAGTTGTAAATTTGATTAGTGATAGAGATTCTATGTATATGCATGACAGAATATATGGAATAATAGGTGTGCTTGATGTTGTTATAGAAGTTGACTATACTCAATCTCATGATAAATTAGTTAATAAATTAATATTCGAATTGATTAAAAAGGGAGATTGGAGTTGGATTGGTTGTATAGACACGGTAAACAATATTTTTGGGCATAGTTTAGAACCTAGTATTCTAACTAAAAGTGCTATTAATGTTCAAAATAATGGTTTTGTCACTAATATTTCAAATAATATTATTCAATATAATACACCATTACTTTTTTATGGACAGGTAATAAAAGTAATAAGAAATATATCTGATACGAATATTATTAGAAATGCTTTTTTGTTAGTCAGCGGGATAATACATCTTTTGTATGGATGGGGTGGACAGGGGGTTGTTCATATTAAAAGTGTGCGAGAAATAGTTAAAGTTGAAGAATGTCTTGTGTTTTTAAATAATATAATGAAAATTATGAAAACAAGCTTTGAGCAAGGTGTTCTTGAAGATGGTGCTAATGAACAATTAAAAAGGAATGTTTCTAAGTCGATATGGGCGATCACACAATTAACTAATGATCTACTATCGTTGGATTTTGAGCCAATTTTAGTTTGTATAAATGGACCCAATTCAGAGTTATTCATCGGAGTAGGTATAGGGGATATTAAAGAACAAGATGTAATTTATATGACAAAATTATCATCATCATATGGCAAATTATTAATGGTCGTGACAGATTTGGAACTTACCTCAAAACAACAAATGTTGCGTCGAAAAGGATGGATTTTATCTGATTTTGATGTAAATATAGAAAAGTCATATGAAGTATGTGTGATATATTAGTTGTGATTTTAATTTAAAAATATATCGCGTGAAGCGTTGCGGAACATACTTGTCAAAACTATTGAGGTAAAGCTTTTATCTCACTGGAACGAGAAAAGTCCATATGTATTAATGTTCTTATCATTCCACTAGACATTTTCATACTTCCATTGCTTAGAACAAACCAAGCAGATTTTGGCAACAATGGCCAATGACCTCTTGCAATTGTATCAAAAGCACCGTATCTGAGTTGATAACCATGTGAAGTATTAATTATGTCCGTTTTTTCTGCTAAAGAAAGATTTTCAAGACAGTTGGCGTATTGGAAGTGTGCATCTAAGCCGTTGCCATCCATAAGATTATATAAATATATCAATACTAAAATAGAATGATCTACGTCGTAACCTGGGCATATGGATTTTTTTGCAAGAGCGTACCACCATTCTGATATTGATTTGGATCCCAGATTAGGTAACAAACCTACTGGCATATATTCTGGAAAAACGTGTGCTAGCGTGGTGTATAAAATTTCATTATCATTTACCCACGTTGATATTTCATTTAATAATGCAGCAATTGATTCACATTTTCTATGTGCATTAGCTAATAAGCATATCATGGCACGATGTCTTGCGTTTATGGGCGATGGCTGTGTTGACTTGATTGCCGACATGTATTCTTGACATGAAAATATATGATCTTCGATTTTCATAATTGCGCTCCAGACTTTTATACCAAGTAAATCAAAAACGGTAATTCCTTGAGCAGTATCGTATCTATCTAGACAAGTTCTTACAATATTTGGACTTGATAATCTGATCAACTTAGGCAACCAATCATCACCATTAAGAGTATCTTTATATAATGATAGTTGTGTTTGTTCACAAATTTTGTTGGGAAAAAGCTTTGAAAATGTGACTCTATCTATCCATGATTTCATAACTAAATTTTGTCTGCCGCTTATTGTTCTCATGAATATAGACCAATGGATAATGTCATTATAAGTAAATGAATTTGACCATAATAGTCTTCCATTAGATTCATTTCTTAATGAAATAGCAGCGGTTATAACAGAAATGAGATTGAGATTTATAATATGTTGGTCGACAGCCGCCAATCCAACTGCTATTGCCCATGACACAAATGCAATAATTCTCAAT